CTTTATTCAGACATATCAATCATGTTCTCTCCAGTACTCTTCAGATTCTCAAAACCCAATTCTTGTCTGATCTTGCTTATCTTCTTGTTCTATTTTCACCATCTTCCTTGTGCTCTAAGTCAACGAGAACTTAGGTTATGTGATTCTCTGTTTCACTGTGGGAATTTCACCGCCGGTTTCCCGTTCTGGGGAGACAGTAGACCAGAACCTTGTGGTCATCCTTCTTTGGTGCTTCACTGTAATAAACCCACAAACAAGACTTATCTGATAATCTCAGGTCAGATGTACAATGTCCTCCAAATAGACAACGCATCTAACACTCTTAGACTTGCGAGGCAAGACTTTCTAGGTGAATCATTTTGCTCTGCTACGTTCACCGGCACAACGTTGACTCCTGAACTCTTTGAGCTTTCTTCAGATTACAAGACCCTCTTTGTTTACTATCTCTGCGATGATGCTCGTCTGCACAAGCCTTCGAGTTTCACGTGTCCGAAGATCGGTGTTGCCTCGGTGCATAAGAACGATGAAAATCATGAGAACTGTGGTGCGAGTTTCAACATCACTGTTCCCACGAGTTACGTTCCAGAGGAGGAAGCTTTGAATTTGACCCGTTTAAGAGGTGTTCTAAGAAATGGATTCAAGGTGAAGGTAAAGATAGATGAGAGACTGTGTCAAGAATGTCAATCTAGCGGTGGAATCTGCGAGTTCGATGTTGCTACTCCGGTGTGCTGCAAGGCAAACTCTTCATCAGGATTAGTAATCAACTGCAATCCAATGATTCCATCTCGATCTAATGGTAAGCTTCTGAACTATCAGCAAAGTTTCATATGCATAACATATAAGTTTTCTCCTCCTTGCCCAAACTTGTGAAGTATAATTACGACGCAACCAGACTAAAACAGAAAATAACGGATTGCTCATAAGTCGATCTGCAGCCTCTTAAGTTCCACTCTGACACATACCGCAACTAAAATACCTAAGTTGCGCATTTGGTAAATCCCTAAGCATGTATAACATGCTAATAACCAAGAACCACAGCTCATACTTTTCGCAATCTCTCTAACGAAGTCACAAATATATTTTTCTTTCAGTTTTCCAATGTTGGTTTTAGGCTTTTAGCAGTGTTAAGATATACCTTACTTCATAGTGAGCTGAAGAGAGAAGGTTAGAAACTTGAGTGGTCGAAAAGTCCTTGATCTGTCTCCAGACACTTAGCATACACGATTTCCATCAGGTCTTTTTCAGGGTATGGAAATTTTCTTTACCTTGAATCTGTCTCCTTCCTTTATATACAAATTCTTTCTCAACATTCAATTCTCATGGTAAATACTAAAGACTCTTTGTCTTGTTCCACTCTTCATTCTCTGCACATACCTATTAATGCCTTGACATTGTCTGACACTGACAAAGAAAGTGGAGAGTAAAGGAAGAGACAATTACGGTCAAGTCTTTCTTCTTTCTTTTTATGTCCTTTTGGAGATTTTCTTCATATGTCTATTTTTAACCTCTATGGAAGTTTTCTTCATTAGTCTACTTTAAGCCACATCTCTACTTTGCCTGACTTTTTTCAGTAAAGTTCTTGCACCGGCACTGACGTCCTACAAAAACAAATTTTGTCATAAATTAATAACAACCAAGCAGAATAAAATCTTTGAAATAATGTATTATCCAGACTTAGTCCTCCTAACCCACCTAATTCCAAAGAAATTTCGGTCTGTACATAAATTTCCAGACAAGCAATATATAAAAAGAAACCTTCACTCTTATTTTCCTTCTTTCAACTCATAGAAAACCAAGACTTTGACGAAAAAACCATTTACCTA